AAGAAGTATATATATATATATATGTATATATATTCGTGACTCAGCATATCTCAATTGGATAGACTTTTTATCATTATATAAAAAATAGTTCTCATATTACAAGGCTGAGTTTCAGCAGTAAGTATATCTGGCCGAATAAGAAACTTCCATTAGAATTCTTTAATAAAACTATTTATACTATCAAGTTGATCAAAAAAATTCTATTGCAGTGATTATATAATATTTACAGTAATAATAAGAGAATTCAAGAAAATTATGGTTAACTTTGCCAAAATGTGACATCATATATCCAGCTGATATCCCCTCAAATTAATATTAGTTACTCAAGGAACATTAATTTTCCAGCAAAAAAAAAAGTAATGACATTATCATGCCGTGATTTGAAGCCTAGTAGAAATATGAGGGGCAGAAATAAATGTCTAAAGATTCCTAAATCAAATCACAGTTTACTTAAATATGTTATGCATGCTCGTGCTAAACAGGAGCAGCAATAATTTGAATGGCACTAATATAGTCTGCATGGACAATTATGCGATTATTCTGAGAAAAAAAAAGTTCAAATAAAATTCAAATAAAAGATCGAGAAGCCCGATAATCTCAGAATAGGCTGCTAACAATACATGGTATTCAAACTTCATAGAAAATTAGACACGAGTTTGCTTCCTACTTTTTTATGAAATCATAGTCTCAAAAAATTATGCAACAGTTTATAATAGACTATTAGGTATCAAGACACGCATTCCAATCAACATTATTATACACCACAAGATGAAGAGAGCCGGCTGAAAATTACAATCCGCTGATCCCACGAAAAATATCTAATGATTTGATCAATAACAGATAAATTCAAGTAAAGGGGAGTTTTATAAATTGATTAATCTGCTAAATGAGAAAGAAATATAACGTCGAGTGATGGGTATATAGTTCAAGCTACCTACAAGCCATCAAAAGACAATAAGATTAAATAAGATCAAGGAGAACATGATAACCCTCCTCACTACAAAACTTTTTGTTTCTTCCTAATGGAATATTTGTAGGGGAAGTTTTTTGAAGGCTTAACAATAAAATCAGATCCTGTGTATCCTATGTCGATTCAAGAAAAAGTCGGAAGGATTAGTGTGATATTTCAAAGCTTAGAAGTGAGACGAACAAAATTCTTCATATGAAGTGTAGGCACAAGTGAGACGAACAAAATTCTTCATATGAAGTGTAGCATGAAAATCTTGTCGCAGATGGGCAATCACTGCCAAATCTGTCTCAATGCTAACAATATCATTAACATAAATCAAGAGAAGAACAAGACTAGTACATAAATTCAGCAAAATAAAGACAAGCCATATCAGCTCTACATAAAGGAGAAATAAAATCAATCAAAAATTTATCAAATCATGCCTAGAAAGCCAGTTTCAACTCAAATAGAGTTTCAATGTACAAACATCCAAAGAAAAGGAGAAGTTAGGTGGGAGAACCATGTAAAATCTCCTCTTTCAGAATACCAGGATAAATGATATTTTTAGCCACAGAAGCATAAGTTTTTTCATCATAAACCCCATATTCATGATTGCTAACAATGACAACCAAGCATAGCTATTAGCAATCTAAAGTACCATCAACATGGAGCGAATCCATTTATAGCCATTGGCTTTAACATTAGGAGGTCAATGACAATATCCAATATAAGCTTGCCCTCGAGAGCTTGAAGTTCTTCTCTTATTGCCTTGCGCAGACAATCATGTTTAATAAATAACATGAATAAATGGGACAATAGGCCAAGGTAATGTGAAACCCGTACTAATTTGAATAATAGGCGATTGTGAAAGAAAGTCTCAATATTTTGCTTGAATTTCAACGAGCAAGCTTAGGTAGCAAATCAATTTGGATAGACGCAAATGGCCAGCTGACTAAGTATCATACACAAATACATGTCTAAATTAACCAAGTTTAGAATTCAGTTCATCAAAATTAGAGAGCACATCTCTCTCGCAAAGACACGACATGATTTTCAAAGAAAACAATTTGACCAGATATACAAAATCTATCAAAGATCGGATTATAATAAATATGACCTTTTGTAAGAAATTTTATAACCCATAAACGCACATTTAACAGACCGAATGGAGAAAATAAGACATTCATTGGATGGTAAATAAACAAATAAAAAAACTGAAAATATGCATATCAAGGTAGTTGGGATACTTGTGAATAGACGATTAAAGAAAAAAAGATTAGAACTTTCAGACATGATAAGGTAATTAAATAAATTGTCATGCCCAAAACTTCAACCAAAAATTTAAATGAAAGAGAAGATTTAAGCAACAAATTTCAAAGAGCATCTAAAATGTGAGAATTCTTAAATTCATCAACATCATTTTGTTGATGTGTATAAAAACATGATTCCCTTTTGTTGGAGCAAAATCATGAAACTCACACAACATATATTCACTACAAGAACTGAATTTATTAATGTTGGAGGAGAATTGAGTTTCAATAGACGGTATAAATTTATTAAAGAGACAATATTTCATATTCATAGCAAAGTGAATAAACTCAAGTATACGTAATGTAATCATTAATGATTGTCAGAGTAGGTATAATTGACGTGCAATATAATAGAAGGCCCCACACATTACTATGAGTCTAGTCAAAGAAACTTTTAAAATGACTAACATATGATAAGAAAAAGAGACTTTTTGTAATAACTGAAATTAAACAAAAAATAAATATAGCAAAGAGATCGAGAAAAGAAGAAATCAAATAAGGAAGAAAGGAGGTGGGTTGTTTCCAAACCTAGTTTGCGGCTTCGTCGAGGAGTTTTGCATTCGAAGCCACTATCAAGCCGAGGAGAAGTCGTTGTGCCCTAATTCAAAAGGAGAAGAAGGAGGAAGAATTGTGTGGCTTTTCCCTTTCATGTGAAACTTACCGTGCTCGATCGACCTCGAGCGGTAGAGAAGGGAGGTCGGGCGGCTCAAATGCAAAGGAAGACGAGGAGAAGACTCGTGTGTGTAGGTAGGAGCAAACCCTTGCTTGCAAAGGAAGGAGGTCGGAGGAAGAAGAGCATTGGCACTGTACTCGGTCGGGTCTAGACTTAAGTAAGAGGAGAAGATGAAGGAAGGAGTGCGGGCTGCAGTGTGCAAGTAAAGGAAATTGACATAAACATAAGGTGAGTTATTTGATTTAGTTTAAATTTTAAATATATAAATTTAATTAATTAAATAGGATATAATATTAACGTTTAAAGTTTATGAATTTAAATCATATATTGTAAGTTGAAGGTTTTGGTGCAAAGAAGGGAGACGGCTCATGTACGAATTTAAGCTTCATGTGCAAATCGTAAAAACCAAACCATATAGGTGTTTAGGATTTTATGATGTTAATTACTTGAATGAAACCATTGAATTACTTACTAAATGCTAATAATGGGATTAACTTAATCAGATATTGAAGACAGAAAATTAGGAGTTGAACCCACTAAACTTATAAGGGAGAAAAGAGGAATCTTGTGCAAAGAAACAAATCAAACATTTTAAGAAAGGAATTGTATACTTATTTATATGTCATTTTAGTTATGTCATTAGATATATTTTCAAGTCTTTCTTTTAGGGTGAGACTCTTATAGTTATATGCATCTTTAACAGATATATGGGATAGTCAAGTGAATTGAAGGAATAAGTATTTCAAAGGTCTTTTAGGGTGCATGTGACGTAGATTATATGTTGCAGCGTGGCACGCTGTCGCGGTTCCGTTCCTTTGGTTGACGCGGCGCGAGCGCGTTTTATTAAACATGTCTGATAAGTCGCAACACGATCCTGTCTCGACTTCTTCTGCGTTATTTGGCATTCTTTAACTTGTCCTCCCTCCTCCCACCTCCCTCCTCCCTCCAGCTCGGCCTCACCCTGCATGTGATCTGCCTAGGATTTTTTCTCTACTCTTCGCTCGTCGATACAACTGGATAGAATTTTTACGGCGTTTGCTTCCTTCTTCCTCCGGTATCTTCTACCCTTCATATCTTCTTCATGTATTTGCTCTATGAGTCATATGGTTTGCACAGAGATTTTTCTTTTTTTTTTTATTTTTACATACATAGCACTGGTGACTTCCTTTTTTTCTCTATTCTCGATGGCTACAACCCCAATTTTTCTATATATTTTGTGATTTCAATCGTTTTGTGGTCTTTGGTTGATGCATACATAGCGTCTTACGTTAGTTTTTTTTTTATATGATTACATACCTATCACCCTAAAATTTTTGGCACTTTTACTTCCTTCTTACGACGTTGATTTGTGATAAATGAGTGTGAATTTGAGAAATGCTTGAGAGCGATATATGAACAACAATCTTTTGGCTGCTATGTATTTCACTTATATGGATTGGGATTTCATCAAAAATTTTGAAATTTGAGTGAAAATATTGAGAAAAGGCTGATAATTGGTGGTACATTCGTTAACAACAATGTTTAATGAATATGGATTGGGAATTCGAACAAGCTGGTTTTACCAGCAATGTTTCGAGTGCTCCTTTTTCTGTGGGGATTTTAGAATGTTTCGGGTGCTCCTTTTTTTATATTGTTTAGGGAAATTTACAAACCTAACACAATTCTTATGTATTTAAATTTATGGCATTTGAATCTATAATTTGAAGTTTAAAGAATGATGGTAGTTGTAATCGTGCGTATTTTACTATTTTACCCTGATTTCCCTATGTTTAGGTGTTGTAATGGTATTCATTTTGATGTGGTTTTACAGATTTGAGTGTTGTGCGATAAATATTGAATTTATT